CAGTATATTCAATCCTAATACAATTTGTTTGGTTGCGGTTTACCATATTGTAGGCATCCAACTTTTATGATTTATAGACCATGGTTTTCCACTGAATAATTATGAGATCCACAGGCAATTGGAGTTAGGCAATAATCCATATCTTTGCATACATGAGAACAGCTGGAAAGTTATTTTTAAAATTATCTGGAGTCCCAATGGTCTTTTAGAGGTTTCCTCTGATCTCATCCTTTAACTTGAAAAGCACGGCATGCCAGGATGCCTCCTGGCCTGAACCCAGAGAAGCAGCACACTATGGGACTTGGACTAAGAAGGCTAACGGGTCAATATGTAGAAAACTGAATTACGGGAACAGCGTATGCACACATGCACACACCAATTAGGTTCTTCACATTGTGTCTGTGAAGAAAAAAATTGGCTGTGATTGAGAGGGAAATTGGAGTTGCTCTTTTCCATCATAGAAGCCTGAGCGCCATCTGGGGGTCATTGTGCAAAATTACCAGCAACATTTAAGTTGCATTCTGCTTACATTTCGTTTATTGTGGGACACAGGTAGGGCAAAAGGTTATAGTCCAAGAGTTTAAGGGGGTGGGGGAGAGATTTTTTAAAAAATAAATAAATATGCAAATGGAAATCTGGGACAGCTAGCTGAATCCAGTGTAAATCTCTTCTGCCTGTTGAAGTAACTCAGTGGTGTTGTTAGCAAGTCCTGTTTTCAGTTTCTGTTCCCCAATGCACTCTATACCTTGTTGACCCCATATTGGTCTTCCTTTCAAGCACATTGAAAACATTAAGACACAGTGAGGTGATCTACATGAAATATAACTGGTTTTTTTTTAAATATTAATCCTCAAAAAACTCCCAAGTTGACCTCAATAGCTAGTGATTTGTTAGACATGGCCACATAATTATCTTGACAACTGTCTGAAACTGGATCTTCAGGAATGTTTTTTGATTTCTCAAACTAGTCTATACCGAGGGATTTCCTAGTGGTCTCCCATCCCACCAATAACCACATTCAACTCATATGGCATTTTGAGTTCAGCTCAGATTGGCTAGTGCTGCTGTCTAAGCAAGGCTCATAGGTTTAAGCAAAAGAAAGTTTGTATATCCCCTGGTATTTATCCAAAATATTTAGAAAACACTATTTTTGGATGGAAGAGCATAACTATTCCAATCTTTTCACACTCATGGAAGTGTTTGCAGCACTGGGATTCTAGGCGTTGTGGTACAATGCAATTTATTTGGAATGTGTCATTTAGAGAAAGCTGCTATATAGTAAGACAGACAGCCCTGCCTTCAACATTGTTTGGTTTAGTGGGAAGTAATCACAACCAAGTTATTACTAAAATGTGTGTGTGCGTGTGTGTGTGTGTGTATGTAAATTATGTATATATACATATATATGTATGGTATTCAGCTTTGTTCTGGTATTTTCCCTCGTCATTATAGTTGTGCTTTTAAAGTTGTAGTAGCAATGTCTCGGCAGAATCTCATCTGCCATCATCAGGCTTCTGTATTGTGTTCGTCTGTGCTGGTTGGTATTTATTTTTGATGATATCAAGAGTTTCTTTTATTAGGACTTGAGTGAATAGTGAAACCACGTTGAAACTTACAAGCAGATCTTCTTGTTCCACGTGTAGATCTTTGATCATTTCCAAGAAGTGGTATGAGTTTTGTACCTGTGAAGCTGCTGTTTCAGCATGGGGCTGTAGCTGTTTTGCTAAGTGTTTAGCTAGGTTTTGTAGTGGAGCTCCTCTGGAGCTGCCTATGGGTCTGAGAGGTATGGCTTCTTTGGGTATTTTTGGGAGGTCGTATAGTTTGGGGCATCTGGAAGATTTTTCTCTTTGGATGATCGTCTGTTGGATCTCTTTGCTCATGTGGCTGATTATAATTTTCTTCTTGGTTATTTTTTCCAGACATGTGATTGGGTCCATGTTTATGGGTTTGTATGTGGAATCTTGGAGTAGGTCTGTCAATTTTGTTTCGTAGTCTTTTCTATCCATTACTACTGTGGCATTCCCTTTGTCTGCTGGAAGTATGATTATGCTGCTATCCTTTTTTAGGGCTTGCAGGGCTTTTAGTTCTTCTTTGTGCAAGTTGCTTTTGGGTGGTTTGCTTGTGCATAGGATGTTAGTAACTTGGTGTCTTATTCTAACAGCTTCATCTGTATTTAATTTAGTTAGGCTGGATCCTACTGCACATATGATGGATTCTGTGGGGATTTTTTTGGGTGCTATAGCATAATTGAATCCTTTTGTTAGGACATCTGTTTCTGTTTTGGAGAGTTCTCTGTTGGAAACGTTATATACTAATTGTTTCAGACGTTGTTGTGAGTTGTTGGGGGCTTTCTTGTCATGTTCTAATTTCTTTAGTTTCTTCAAGAGTTTGTCATTTTTGGAAGTGGTTTCAGTTTCAGCTCTCCAAGTTGTAAGTTGTTTTATCTTGTCCCAAAGTAGAGGGTGGATTTTGCTGCTCAATTCCAGGTGTAGTGCTAGCAAATCTTTGTTTAACTGATCCAATTGGAATCTCTTTCTGTGGAGCTCATTCCTGAGTAGAGCCATTTCAGTTCTTTTCAGGATACGTTTAGTAGCTGCTGTGCTGTGATGAAATGTTAATTAGAAGCAGGTTGGTGTTGATTGTTGTCTCTGCAGCTGCGTAGGAATTTGAGGTCACATAGTATTCCTGCTCTTTTAACTTCCAGCTTCTCATAGGTTTTGGTCTGGCTGTTTATTTCCTCCCAGACGAACATAATACAGAAGCCTGATGATGGCAGAAGAGATTCTGCCAAAACGTTGCTACAACTTTAAAAGCACAACTATAATGATGTGGGAAAATACCCAAACAAAGCTGAATACCATACATGTAAGTACCCACGAAAATTTAAGAAAACAAACAAACACACACACACACACACACATATATATGGATCTACTTCCAATCTTATGTGGGAGAAAACCCGAATAACCAAAGATCCACATACAAATACACGCAAGAACCTCAGAAAACATACATGCATGCATACATACATACATACATACATACATACATATATGCATACATATATATACATATATCTATGTATGGTATTCAGCTTTGTTCGGGTATTTCCCCACGTCATTATAGTTGTGCTTTTAAAGTTGTAGCAACGTTTCAGCAGAATCTCACCTGCCATCATCAGGCTTCTGTATAGTATTCATCTTTGTGTCAGGCTTTGCAGCCGTTTCAGTTTTAAATTTGATGCTAGAAAACAAATATATATATATATATATACATGTATATATACACACATATATATGTTTTATTAAGTTTTTGCAGGTATTTATATGTATGGTATTCAGCTTTGTTCGGATATTTTCCCACGTCATTATAGTTGTGCTTTTAAAGTTCTAGCAATGTTTCGGCAGAATCTCATCTGCCGTCATCAGGCTTATGTATTGGATTCGTCTGTATGTCAGGCTTTGCAGCCGTTTCGGTTTTAAATTTGGTGCTAGCCTACTGCTGTGCCAAAATGATTTTTTCTTCATCCTGATTGGTTGGGAGTCTTGGTTTGTGTTTATTGGTCTTGGAGTTTGCTGTGTTCTGCTTGATTGGTGTTTCTAATATCTTCTGTCTGTTTTGTAGCATTTTTTTTGTCTTGATTGGCTGGCAACATTGTGTTTCTTGTATTGGAGGCTTTTAGTGCGGCTTGGCTTCAGGTGAGTGGCCGGCATATATATATATATGAACCAGAAGCCTGATGATGGCAGATGAGATTCTGCCAAAACGTTGCTACAACTTTAAAAGCACAACTACAATGACGTGGGAAAATACCTGAACAAGGCTGAATGCCATACATGTAAGTACCCGTGAAAACTTAAGGAAACATATACATATACATATACATATACATACATACATACATACATACATACATACATACATAAATACATAAATACATATATATATATATATGGTATTTAGCTTTGTTCGGGTATTTTCCCATGTCTTTATAGTTGTGCTTTTAAAGTTATAGCGACGTTTCGGCAGAATCTCGTATATGTGTATTTATATATGTATAAAACCACTTAGAATGTTTTATATATACTTAGAAGGCCAGTGAGGTGAGAAGGGCTCAGAACACCTACTGAGAGTTTCTATCAGAGGTAGAAGTTTAGGAGAATTGGCATCTTAAATTTTATTCGTAGCAGGGGTGTAAGAGCAGATATCTTTCTGCTACAATTCTGCTTGTCTGCATTGGTTGCAAGCAGCAGAAACTTTTCTCTGTGGGAATGCACAATTCCATCTCCTGCTTCTCTACAGAATATAAATGGGTGTTTCAACCTCTTCCCCAATTTTAGAGCTAGTCATTATGGTCTTAAATCATAATGGACTATCCATTTGACTAACCTGATTTTTCCTTTCTTTTTTAGTGGTGGATTAATTGCCCAGTCGTGACATGAACATCAGAGTTGTAAAGTGAACCCATTGCTCGTTATGGACCGGTTTTGCCAAAACCCCAAAGTGCCTCTTTTCAGTAAAAATGTCAAAACCAGAAAGATTAAAAAATAAAAAATTACAGGTAGAGCTAGTCCTCAGCTTATGGCCAAAATTGGGACCAGAATTTCTGTTGCTAAGCAAAGGGGTGGGTTAAGTGATTCATGCTTGATTTCGCGGCCTTTTCTTCACTTGTGCTTGTCAGAAGCTGATTGGGAAGGTCACAAATGATGACCATGGGATGCTTCATGTAAATACTGGCCGGTTGCCAAGCACCCAAATTTTGAGAAGATGCCACGCCAGTTGTAAGTTACTTTTTCGATGTCGTCGTAGCTTTCCATAGCCGCTAAGCCAAGGGCTGCCTATATGTGACCCGCTACTACTAAAATGGGGTGGCAGGATTAGAACCTGCCTCTGAACGTGCCTGGCGAGAGCACAAGTCGGGCACTTATTTCGTCACCGTGGCAGATACAGAAAGGCCTGCGCCATCCCTAGTGAGAAAAGAAACCCATTCGAAGGAGGCCTTTGACTTTCCATCACTTTATTTTGTAAAAATAGAAAAGTGCCCCACCCCATCCCCTTCTGCGGCACAGCTGGGAGTGTAGGGGCAGGGGAAGAATCCTGTAAAATACCATGGAAAGCTGGTTATGTAAACATCCAAGAAGGGCCTCACCCCCCTTTTTTTTTTAAAAAAAAAAACTTTTTTATCCCACCCCCACCACAAACAGACCCCCATTTTAAGGCCCCGGGGTATTTATTTTGACAGCTTATTTTAGGAGGGGTGGGGGAGAAACCCAAGACCGTTCAGCGGGCGGCTCTGTTCCTTGGTGCGCTGCAATCTGTCAACACTTGCTCTTGCAGGGGGAAGGGCCAAGCTCTCACTCACTTTACTGCCCATTCCCTGGTGAAAACATAAGTCAATAAATAAAACCTCCCGGGGGGGTGGGGCTGCCCTGCTCATGGCCGGAGAGGGAAAGAAAGCAGCATCTTGAGCTGCGGAGGGAGCGAAAGAAGGCTGCGGAGTTTAATCCGCCCTGCAGCCTCTCCCAGAGGCAAAGCTCGCCCCCCCCCTCTCCTTTTCTCTACCCACCCCCTCTGATGAAGGCTTCCCAGAGGAAGAGAAGAAAGGGAGGCCGAGACAGAAGAGTAGCTGATAAGAGCGAAGGACTAAGCTGAGGGCCAAAACTTGATAGAACAACTCCTCCCCGCCCGCCCAAGCTTTGTAGTGTTCGGGTTTTTTATTCCTATTGCTGAAGGCGGCAGGAGAGGCTTTGCGGAGGAGACGTCTGCCCTCTAGCGATAAGGAAGAAAGCTTCGTCCCTGGAGTTGTGAGAGAGGAGCAAAAATGGCTCCTCCTCTCAGCCTTTGGGAGGGAAATCAAGCTTCCTGGAGCAGAAGTGGTCTTTCTTGCTCCATCAAAGTGCTGCAGAAAGGCAAGTTAAGGCAAGCCGTGACCACCCACCCGGCTTGCTTTCATCATCCTAGAGACCGACTGACTTCTCCTTGACAGGGGCAGAAGTGGGGAAGGGGGGGGCACGGAGAGACAGCAAACAGGGTCAAATCTGTAACTCTGCACCGCCACTCCCACTGCCCCTTATCAGCGCGATATCTTTGGTTATCTAGTGTCCTTTGGGGTCCATTTCCCAGAATTCTTAGCACTGGGGTCATAAGCATCCCAAGCAACAGATACAACCCCCGACCCTGCTATACCTCTACGCCTTGGGATGGGGAGACAGCGGGAAGGACCACGATGAGATCCTCTCTCTGCCCTGCGATAATAACACAATAGCATTTTATAAAGCTAATCAAAAGGAGCCCCCACCCCACCACCCCCAGGAATTCACATAGCTTGCCGGAATCCATCAGAGATGGATTGTTAATACAAGCACACCCTAAAGGTGACACGTAGAGGGATGCGTACATAGTCCTGCCTTTGTCTTCTCCATTCCCCAACATCATTGGTCCAAGGTCTCTTGTGTGCAATGGGGAGAGGAAGGGCTGTTACGTTCCTCCGTTGGTCTTCAGATTCTTGAATAAATAGCATCCCATGTGCCAGGGGTTCCTGGCTCGCAAGGCAGAAGGACGAAGTGGATTTTAGACTGAGTTGAACCAAGAAACCACTCCTGACAGAGTCCCTGTCGGCTCTTGGGGTGCCCCCTTTTCTCTCAGAGGCTCTGAGTTTATGGGGGGGGGGAAATTGCACGTGCGGAGCTCACCCCGTTTTGAAAAGGGGGAAATCTCCAAGTTGTAGCCCCTTTGGGGCTTCCCAGGTTCTGAACATTTGGCTTGAAGCTGCTTGAGTCAGCTGGGTAGGCAACCTGGGGGCTTTGGCAAAGCTCTGGGGTTGGGAGAAAAGGCTTCTGAAGAGACATCCAAGGCCCCAAAGAAAAAGATTAAGGCAAGAGGCATCCAGCCCACGTCACCAAACACAGAGGAGGAGAGAGGAACAGGCTGCCGCTGCCTCCTAGCTCATCTTGACTGCTGCTGTCCTGATGCCTGACTCCGGCAGATGAGCCAAGAGCAGGAAAGGCAAGCCTAAAATGGCGTCCAGGAGGAAATGGGCCGTGGGAAGGCAGAGATGAGACCCAGGAAAACCATCTTCTCCCAGCCTTTCTCAGCCTAGATCCTGCCTTTCTTGAGGTGCTAAGGGGTTTCCTCTTGGCTTTTGGCGTCAGCTGGGCTCTCCTCAGTGCTCGGGGCTTCTGCCGAAGTTGGAGGTTGTGACAGCTGATCTTCAAACATTTCAGGGTTTTCCAGCATTTCTCGGATGAGTGGTGGCATGGGACCAGGGATCTCCATCTTCAAGGTGATGGCCCGTTCAGCACCTGTGGAAGAGCAGAGGAGGGAAACGGGTAACATCAGTGGATGGGAATTTCCCCATGAAGCAGATCAGGTAATAAGAGAGACTGCATTATTTTTCACCAAGAAAAGTTGCCATAAGCTTTTCGTTGATTCTACGGGCAGCCCTCAACTTACCACAGTTCATTTGGTGACCGTCCGAAGTTACAACGGCATTGAAAAAAAACGACGTGACTATTTCCCCCACTTTCCCCCTGGGCTCGTGATCAAAATTCAGACGCTCGGCAACTGACTCACTTTTATGACGGTTGCAGAGTCTTGGGGTCATGGGACCACCTTTTGTGAACTTCTGACAAGGAAAGTCAATGGGGAAGCCAGGTTCAATTAACAACCATGTTACTAACTTAATAACCACAGTGATTCACTTAACAAAACTGTGGCAAGGCAGGTCGTAAAATGGGGCTGAATTCACTGAACAAATGTCTCGCTTAGCAACGAAAATGTTGGGCTCAATTTTGGTTATAAGTCGAGGACGAGCTGTACTGAAAACCCAGAGCAGCTACCAACTTCAGTTCACACACACTGGCTGTCTGCACATATACCCAAGACTCTTCATAACCTCTGTGGGAGGAACCAAATTTTTTTTAATGAAGGGGTGGTGTTAAAAGCTCTGGAGGAAGTACTGCTGCAGGATAACTCCTCCTTTTTCCATAGCTCTTGGAAGAGTCCTTCCATCGACCACCAATTACAGGATATGCTATGAGCAAGAGGGGGAGTCAACCGGATCAGTAGGCTTCCTCCACACTGCAGCAAGCAAAATAGTGTAAGAGCAATTAAAAGTAGAAGCCGTTTCTTTCTCTTCAACCATAAGTCTGTGGTTCCTAGGGTGACATATTTTGAGACTGCTTCAGGAATGTTCCATGACAAAAACTCCGAATATTCGCACCCACCTCCAATGACCCTACGTTCCCAATTGAGAATAAACCGTTTTACCTTTGGTACTGATCCCTCTCAGATCAGTAATTTTCATTAGCATACGGGGAAACATGTGAGGCTTGTTGGGCCGACGTCGGCGCGCATAAATCTTCAGGGCTTCCAACAATGGTTCCTGCAGATTATCTACTTTTTCCGGCTCTTCCAGGTCCATTCGATCTATGGGGAAAAGAAAGACCGTGGTGTGTTTGTTCTGCTGCTTTTGAACAATCTAGATTGCTTGTGACTGTTTCACAGCATACACGGAATGCCAGTTTTCATCTCCAGATGAGCACTCTTAATCCTTGTGGATTGCGGGACAAAAATAATAATAATAGAAAAACAATTAGGCAGTAGGAAGCCTCTTAGATAGGGTTTTTGCTTGACCAGGCTTCACTTCAACCGTTCACTGTCGTTTACGTGCTATTTTTACATTACATGCTATTTTTTCCCCCTCCCCTTTCATAAGAGGGAATGGGATCTTAGTATCGCGTCAGGGAAATATTAAATAAATAAGAGCAGGCTTTTATGCTCCATTTAGTCCACGAGGAGAGAAACTGGGTGGATGATTTCTCCAGGGGACAGAAAAATTCTCCAACCCATTTTCAAAGGCAGACTTCTGCAGATGAATGGTAGCACTGCTGCTGTAAACATCTTATGGGAGGACTTCTTAGTAATGTCTTCCCCAGAGACTAGATTGAAGGTCATTGAAGGTAAGGTAGAAGTGACTGTATAATAAAACACAGCGTATTCACATGCGGGCCCGCACAACACTTCACCACTACATCTTTCAAAACGTATCTGTTCATGACCTTCACCCAAGAAATAATTTCTAAAGCAAATTCTCTGTCATTTAAGATAAATGAAACCTGAAAGAACACAACTCTGTTTATGCAATCATACATATAGATTGGTTTGTCTAGGGTACATAACTTACCTTCCTCCTACTTTTAATTTAGAAATTATTTCATTTTAATTGCTACTAATCTTTAGACTTTACAGTGGTCCACTCCTATGTCTGTGGAGATTCTCACTCATCCAGGTCATGGTTGTCCCAAAGGTGCTTTTTTTTCAAGAGGCAACTGGACTTTCTGGGTTTTTTTCTTTGAAGACGTTTCGCTTCTCATCCAAGAAGCTTCTTCAGCTCTGACTGGGTAGTGGGGAGAGTCAAAGCGAAGTGTCTTCAAAGAAAAACCAGAAAGTCCAGTTGCCTCTTGAAAAAGCACCTTTGGATCCACTCCAATGTTTTTCCTACAGATCTATGGTGATTCTCCAGGATATACTTTGTGCCATGTGATTTAATTTTCTCCTCTGTAGAATTTGATACTGTGACTGGCTGATAGTTAGGAGAGATTAATTGAAAAGCAGTCTCCTCAGCAAATGCCCTTAAAAGTTATGGGGCGTGTCTGTGTGTAAACAGAAGGTTCCTGTTTTCCCCAATTGCAAGAGTAGGACATCATTCTCTCCACCTCGCACTTGTTGCATTGCCTTCCGGCTGCCTACGAAGAAAAGAAGCTGACCACAGCTGAAGTCTCTGTCCCTCTTCTGAAGTTCCCCGGGGGAAGTTCAGAGCACCCTTCTCCAAAGTGAAGTTTCCATTCGATCCAAGCCGGTAAGGAAAAGACGAGGGATGCGGGAGCTGCGCTTGAGGCATTACCTCCACAGATGAGGCAGATCGCGCTGAGCAGGCCTGTCTCGGTGTCATCCATTTCGAGGGGAAGCAATTGCCCGGCAAAGGCAAAAACCAAGTCAGTGAGGGGCCCAAAGCCAGCATTATGCATCTGGGTGCGGTTCAAGGTCAGCCCATCTGAAAAGGTCATGGTGTCTTGTTCTGGAGTGTAGCGGACACAAATACGGAGCATCTGCGGAGGGTGGAGAGGACAGAAATAAAGTCACCGGAGAAACATATTCTAGGGGAGACCAACCTTGTTTCCCTACTACCCTCTTTTGTTTATTTCTGGTACTCCTATAATATCCCATAAAGAAACTCTTTGGGTTCCATACATGTTTTGAAACATTTTCATCGTGCAAAATGCAGTTTCCTGAGAACATCAGCCTTTCCAATAAACGTTGGCCTTTCCTCCTACAATTATATGTTTGGAAAATGCCCAGCGAAACCTCAGTAACCAAAGCTGAGCAAATATTCTTGTCCTCAAAAAAAAGAAAACTGCAGAGGGAAAGAGCTTTTCGTGTTTCTGCCTGGCTCTTCCCAGCATTCACAGATGCATGAATTATTCAAGTACGGGTTTTAATGTGCATCACTTAGACACACTACTACTTTGGGGATCACCTTTGAACCTTGGTCTTCAAAAAAAGAAAAAAAATCCTGTTGCTCTGCTTAAGGATGAACGTATACCCACTCTATCTCTATGCAGGCCATTCCCTCCCTCAAGCTCTACAGGTCTCTGTCCCTCACCAGGATGTCCAAGCATGCTGCCTTCAGCAAAGTAATCTGGTCAGCAATGGTCAGGGTGGTGAAGCCGGGTAGGCGTTTGGCAAACTCTACTATCTTGATGATGCATTTGGTGGCCAGTTCGCTGAATTTGTCCCATAGCCCAAGGTCCAGCTGTATTCGGTGATCAGCACTGGAATTCTGGAAGAAAAGAGAAGTCAGTCGTTACAGTTGCTTTGTCGTTCTCCACACCTCACATCCTTCTCTGGGGACAAACACAAGACAATGTTACTCCAGAAGTCAGCATTCCTGTTCTGCCCCTCCAAGTGGTCTCCTCCAGCTTAGCGGCTACAAGTAGCTTGGGAATGCAATTCCCCGGATTTCCATTATGGATAAGAATTATGGGAGTTGCAGTCCCAAGATGCAGCCAACAGGCTGTGTCCTGTGTTGGAAAATGCTGTTGAGATCATGAACACTGCAGAAGCTGGTTTTAGTCTTCAAAGAGAACAAAGATATATATTTTTCCCCCTTAACTCTATGGGTATTTTTCTCTGTTGTCTTCCCCATCCTTTTCTCCCCTTCCATTTACCTTTCTTCTTAAAAATAATAACTCTAAACCATCCATAGCAACAAGAGTGTTGAAGAAAAGTGATCGTATTACCTTTGCTACTAACTGAGCAAATTGACAAAGCAAATGACAAGGCGTGCATTTAAGTCTAACTCATGAGAAGATTTAAGAATACGGGATGGGAATACGGCGATCCTCTAGTTATTGGACTACAATCCTAGTGCTGCTTTTCACTGCTGGCTGGACTGACGGGAGTTCACATCTTAGCCATCCAGAGGGTCGCAGCGGCCCCATCGCTGGATCAGTATATTCTCGCTTAATTGTAATATCTACCATTAATAGCCTGAGAGAATTGGACTACTATGTTCTGTTGCAGAATTCCTCCTCCAGTCATGTTAGCTCAGGAATTCTGGGAGTTGAAGTCCACAAATCTTAAAGCTGTCAAGTTTGAAGACCCTTGTTCTGTTGTGTCCTGTATTCTCTTAACCAGGTTGCTTGAAGTAAAAGTGTTATGTGTTGAAGGGAAGAAGCTTTAATTATAGATGGTTTTGCATGGAGTGGAATGTTGGTTACTGAAAAAGCTATGAAGAAAACAAAGAATTCATGAAAATAAGTGGCATTTTTAGCATTTGGTTCAACACTGAGCAGGGACAAAGACAAGGCTCTGTAATGTTTCCTCTGTTGTTTAATGGATTTATGGATAAATGTATAAGGAATTGTGATGGACAAATAAGAACTGAATGGGGATATAATTGTATTTTTTAATGCAGATGATGCCATATTTTGGTGTGAACTATAATGATTGAACTTTGGACAGTTTGTATGATGTTATGAGAAGTATAGCTCTGAAAATCAATCCGTCAGAGATGAAGGTAATTTATGTGTGAAGGAAAAAATGCAACGAATGATAGCAAGTTACGTATATGGTATATATGGCAAAAACCTAGAACAAGCAGATGAATTCATGTACCTTAGTGAAGTTTTTGGTAAAGACAGAAAAATCGATGTAGAACTTTTAAGTGTAAATATAGAGGAAAGGTGATAGCATGTCATCTGTTGTGAGAAATAAATGTTCTGTGACAATGAGAATGGCTATGTATAGTAATTTAACAGAACTTTATTTAATGAATTTGAACCAAAGGACCAATTTTACATTTGAATTTCACTATGAAAATAATGCATAAGTACATTATTTCTGTGATTTGTTTGATATTTTTTGTCATTTGCATGTATAATTACACAAATTATTTTATGCAAATGGAATGCAACATTACTTGTGTAAATTATGCATTATACACACATCAATCACATAAATTTGGATTTAACAGACACTCAGATTTAGCAGACATTATTTCCCTTTAAAAGGTTTATTCAACTGAGGCTTTATTATTACCAGTATATACGGCTATATTTTGCCTACTTTTATTATATGGGAGACTAGGCCCTGTCAGGAGAAAATAAAAAGGAAGTGAGGACTCTAAGAAGTGTGTGTTGAAACAAGAAACAATAAGGTTAATAATAAATTAATATTAAATGAATGTAATTTGAATACAAAAGCGAGAGACCAGTATGAAAGAAGTACCTTGAGGTAGCTTGTAACAAAAAGGGAGCAATATAGACGAAATTGCAAAAATAAGATTATGAAGGGAGCAAAACAGCTTGAGAGGAAAAGAAAGTGAAAAAGTTGTCTGAATGGACTGAGGATTCTTTAAAAGAGAACCTGAGAATTTATGGTCATACATACGCATCCCATCATGCTTTTAATTTATTTGACTTGTTATTTCTTAATCTTTTTGTATGTTCTGCATAACATTGCTTATCCTGAAAGGGATCAGCATGATGGGATGGGTATGTATGTATAGATTATTGATTAATCTTGGACAAATAAGAAATAGTGCTTTATCTTTGGATGTGGTTTCCCTTTTTCCTCTTGCCTTGCTACTCTGACCATTGTCCTATATCCATAGCTGCCTTTTATCAAGTTTTAAACTAACTAGAGTTAAAATTAACAGGTTTGTTCAGATTTTTGATGACAAAGCATGTTGTGGTGGTGTAAGACAGAGCTTCCAAATTCCAAATTTGGAAGATTCCAAATTCCTCCTTGTGGCTTAGCAGAGGATGGGGAAGAAAACACACAACCCAGGAGGTTTTAATTTTGTGGTTTAGCTCACCAGCATAATGTGCTGTGAAACAAAACATTAAGTCCCACAACTCAGACGTGACTCTGTGGGTTCAGCCGAGGCTAGAAGTACCCAGGGGCTTCTAATGCGCCCTGCACTTTAGAGCGATTACATTCTCAGAAGGGTAGGTTACAGTCATTACCGTGGTATATTTGCCCAACTGGCAAAGAGATGGGAAGGTTTCCTGATGAGCTTTGCTGACCTTCTGGATGAGCTCTTCCATTTCAGGAGTCATTTCATAGCTATCTACCACCACTTCCTCTTTCACATCTTTTTTCTTCTTATTGCGGTCATTTCTCACAGCTGAAAGAGGAGAGAGAGAGAGCAAAAGTGATGGAAAAGGATATTTTTAATTGACCATAATATCAATTTCCTTCAAGGGAAGCCTTTCATTTATATCTTGAGAAAAAGACCATGGAGGATCACGGCTGAAATGTTACCATTGACTTAGGCAATACAATAGAAATGGAAATAATATAGGATAGACTCTAAGACAGGGGTCTCCAATCCCTGGGCTGTGGACCAGTACCGATCCCTGACCCATTGGGAAACCGGGCCGTGCAAACAGCGGACGAGGGCACGAAGCTTCATTTGTGCATGCGCAGGAGCTAGGTTGCACATGCAAAACCATTCCCTCTCTGCCACCGCTGCTGCTGTCAGTTCGTGAAGATTAGGGGGCCACCGCTCTAAGATCTCTCTTCCCCGGGAGACAGAGTACAATCCTACAATCCAGATCCTCCACCTCTTTTAAGGAGATGTAAAAAGCAGAAGAAAGGCAACCCAGAGTACTCTGTGGCTGCTTTGAACTTCAATTCCCATCAGATCCAGCCAGCAGAGTCATATTGGCAAAGATTTGTGGGAGCCATAATCCAAAACATCTGGAGGGCACAAAGTGGCCTGTTCCTTCTGCAAAATATCTTCAGACGGTTTGCCAACTCTTTGTTTTTTCCTCCTACAGACGGACCTTCTCTCTTAAGCCTCAACTGCTGTATTGCTTTGTTTAGAATTATCATATCAGGGCTGTAAAAAAAATAAAAATAAAAACCCGGGGAACTGCTAAATGGCAAGAAAGGGTGAGAGACAATGAAGACAGCTGATAGGTTGAACCTCTAAAGGAACAGGCAGACAGCTGCACTTAAATGTACTCGGCTTGTCTTTCTGATGACAGAAAAGAATAACAGCATCAAATTGGTTCCTCTGACTGCTGAGCCTGAATCTGCTGTGGTTACAAGGGTGGCAACTGTTGCTTCCCTTATGGTATTAATAAAACAACTTTCCTTTCGAGGAGCAGGAAAACAACCCTTAATCACTTTTCCTAATATGGGACAGAGTGGATGTGGGCAAGTATGGGTGCATGGTCTGGAATGGTATGCTCAGCCACCTGTCAAGATTGCCCGGCAGGTACAGGGTGCGGGGAGGGGTGTCTGCCTGGCTATTTCTGGAAAAACAAATTCCTAGACAGTGTTGAGAAACTGGCCCAGAAAAGATTACAGGAGGGAGCAGGAGGGAACGACTGACAAGCTAACTCCATCCTCAACTTATAGAAATGGTGGTGTTGGCGATGAGTCCAGTTCTGCCTTTCTGGAAAAGAAAACCTGGATATAGCCTGTGGATGCGCTTAGATCAGTGGTTCTCAACCTGTGGGTCACAACCCCTTTGGGGGTCGAACGACCCTTTCACGGGGGTCTCCTGAGATTTATCGGAAAACACATATTTTCGATGGTCTTAGGAACCGAGCCATAATTTTATGGTTGGGGGTCACCATAACACGAGGCCAACTTGTCAAGCCAATTCACTGTGGGACAATGTAACAATTCTATTTAATTATTTAAAATGATTTTTTTTAAAAATCAATTTTTGCCATTCACATTTTATTCTGTTTCTCCTTTTGCGTCTTTTCTTTAATGATTTCTGTTCTGCCATTTCTTTGAAGTTAGTGTAACTCTCGTCCCGCAGTGAGTTATCATGTGGCAGAGATGGCCGTAACGAGTTGTTCTGTAATAAGTTGGCCGTGGCGAGTTGGCCGTGGTGAATTGTCATAGACCCTAAAGTGATGTCCGTCTCCACATCCCCAATAATAAAAACAGCATGAAGCCCAACCACCAAAACCCAAAGTCCTTTCTTCGCGCTATCACGGGAGAACCTATAATGTGCCTGGTTGTGATGGAATCAGCAACATCAAGAGCCCCGGTGGTGCAGTGGTAAGAACGCAGCATTGCAGGCTAATTCTGCTGACTGCCAAGCCTTTGATCCTGACCAGCTCAAGGTTGACTCCGTCTTCCATCCTTCTAAGGTTGGTAAAATAAGGACCCAGATTGTTGTTGGGGGCAATATGCTGACTCTGAAACCACTTAGAGTGGGCTGTAAAAGCACTCTGAAGCAGTATATATAAGTCTAAGTGCTATTGCTATCAAGTGGCAGAATATGGTTCCTTCTTTCTAGTTTAAAGAAACCTTCTGGGGAGCACAGAATTAATGAAAAGTATCGACCCTGTTTTTGTTTTTTTAAACCCAAGTCTAAGTGTCTTTCAAAAGAGCATCAAGTTCCTGTTTGATAGGAGCCACAAATAAGATCTGATAGACACTTTGAAACATGCCAATCAAGCACTCTGTGGGCAAATGCCCCTCCCAACGTCAAACTTCTTGATTCTTTTTCAGGCCTGGCCAAAATGGCCATGGAGGTCAGCCTCCATCAACTGGATGAGGAAGAGCCTGCAAAGGGAGGCTGTGGGAGGGTTGCCATTCTTGGCACTGCCAACAAACATAGCAGCCTACACAGGTGAATAGAAGCTGGGCCCATCCCTCCCCATCAGCAACTCTTTCATGGAGGAAGCAGGCCAGAGCACATCCATCTCAAAAACTGTGTCAGGAGAAGAGGAAAAACACTTCTTTAAAACTGGAACGGCTAGGCTGGAAATGAGACAAAAACAACTCGATGAGGGAATGCCACTAAAAAAAAAAAAAGACCCAGTTACCAGCAGATGTTCATGCCTTGGGTAGGGTGGTATGAGAGTAAACAAACTGAGGTATGCTCTCTATTCTCCACCCAAAAGTATTATTGTACTCTATACCACCTCAGACTATTTGTCCATCAAGCAGCAGTTCTCCAGGATTTCGACCAGATAATCTTTCCCATGACCTCTCTGAGCCTTTTTTTTGAAACTGGAGAGCTCAGGAATTTAAACTGGGATTGTCCGCATCCAAACAGCTCTGCCCAAAAGCAGCAGTCCTTCATGTCAAGACTTCTAGTCGCTTTACCACCCTCCCAGTTTTGCTTTGACCCTTGGTCAGAGTGCCTATCAATTACCCCATGCCATGTTCTTTTCTTTCTCTTTTTCAGCCTAATCATGGGTTTGAGATTCCAAATTCCACACCTCTGTCATCTCCCTAACCTCAGTCTAAGCCATGCAGTAAATTCTGCAATCCCCCCAAAAACATGATCACAGAATTGTTCTCAGAATGGTGCTCAGTCAGAAGTAAACCAGAAGGACCAACTAAAGGGCTGGATAGAGAGCCATGGGGATGTTGAAGAGGTTGGGAAAGGAGGATGGGTAGGATTTCTGTACCTCACTTCATCCAAGAAATAGAGCTGTTGCTTTCTCCAGTGTGGAGCAATATAGCCAAGGTCAGAGTTTCTCCAATGGCAAGACAAAACTCATCTTTGATCATGTGAATCCACCGACTGAACAACATTCATTAAAAATAACCTGCAAAGTTCTTGATTTCTCCTTACCTTACACATAGCATATTCCACGTCTGCAGACTCAAGCAAGAAAAATCCAACCTTAAGTAGCATCCTACAAGTAGGAGTTTCAGGGCATTCTGTGCTTTGTGGCAAGAGGTTCCACTGGGTAATGGCAAATACTGAGTAATGTTGTCAAGCTCAAATGGGTTGGGGACCCTCAACAAGCCCTCCCTAGAAGAATATGTGGGACGTGCCAAATGAAATAGCTGAGATGATCCTGCAGGTACATGTAACCCAAACTATGTGGGCATTAAAGATAACCAGCACTTTGAATGAGGCCCAGGAACAAATCAATAACCTATACTGTAACTATAGCGCCAGTCTTACCTGACTCTATCTTCTATCAATGCCTAGTAGAAGAGCCACTGCACTTAGAGTCAATTAAAGTACATGATTTGTCTTCAGAGGTAGTCCAGAAAAAATAACTTTGAGGAACAGGCGGAAGAGCCACAACCAAAACAACAATCTGATAAAAGAAATCTGATTCCGGCACAGAAAAATTGAAAAAAAAATGTCTCTGAGAAGATCCTCTCCAGTTCTCACAAAGAGAAAGGGAGGGTGGAGATCAGTATATTTAGTCTTGCAACATTTTGTTAACCTTTTACTGTAATAAAGATAATATTAGCATTCATAATTTTGGTCCTAGTTGACATCCTATTACTCAAATATGTTGGAGGGAGAAAAGTGTACTACATACACTGTTTTGAACTTCCATACAAAAGTCGGGATATAAAATCACACCAATAAATCCAATTAGTAATCAAATCACCAGCCTACGATGGGCAAAGCCTACTCAGACATTTCTCTAACAGGAATCATAAGTCTAGGAGGAACCCAAATTGTGGGTGTACTCCTTTGCGAGGAGTGGGGCGTGTGATCCCATTTATTCTTGGCAAATAACAAGGAGTAGTATCCATCTTACAGTATTTCATCTGAGCTTGCTTTGACCGCTCCACGCACTGAGTCAGATTTTTTTTTTTTAACCTAGCCATAATACTCAAGAATTGGAATTTGATTGAAGCAGAATCAGGTAGAACTGTTCTCATGATTTAAAAAAAAAACATTGCTTTTGCTGATTAAGCATAGTTACTTTAACGATCATTGAAGCCACTTACATCTGAATGGCCGAGTTAACGCAATTTACAATTTGCTTAATTAGATTAACCATTTTGGGGGATTTGCACACTACAAAAAAAATCACTAACTATAAAAGCTGGGTTCACACATCACAAAATCTAATCAGGATAAGATTAACCATGCTGAGGATGCTTTAGAAATACAGCGTTTAGATATGTAAGAGCTCTGGTTAAGCATACCATGTGAACACAATGGTATGATGAGTGTTTGCTTAGAAATTGCCTCAGGTTCCATCATGCAAAAATAGTGAGGGATACCTAAAATAAACACTCTCTGGTGATCATTTTAAACTTACCTCTCCCACACTGCTGGAGAGGAAAGAGAAAGAGAACAACAAACACAAATTAAGTGAAACCTGTAATTGGGAAACTGATAGTAATTACTAATTGTCCAGAAGGCATAGCAAATATCCCAAATGGCATAAGAGCCTTGCGACGTCTGGGTTTAGACTCTACCTGCATTTTACCAAAACTGTTCAGAATTATTTGAAATACTTCCAAGTTATTAACTACTTGGAAATATTTCACCTCTTCTATTATATTTGAATCAGATATTGGTTTTTTTTATAGAAAGAGTTGATAATGGGGGAAGGTTTATGTTGCAACCTCAATGCCACTGACGGAGCAAGAGGCAAAGAGACTTAACTAATCTACTCTTTGTGCTACTTTTAAAAATACGAATCAAATTATTAAACAGCATTGTAGAGGACAGTCCCATTGCCCCCACAGCGCACGATGCCCTAGGAATAAGTCTTATAAGTCTTAAAGTCCCTAGGAATAAGTCTCATAAATGAAACAGGGCTTGCATTTGAATAAAAACAGATAGGAATATATTCTTTGCCACTCTTTTGGTTTGTTTCCGTGCACAGTTTTGGGAAGGGCAGGGATTTTAATCCAATTTCTGCAGGGATACAAGCTGTTTTAAAAGGGCATTTAAAGGCACGGTGGTCATGGGAATACTTTCCTTGTCCAGGAAGGCAATAAAAGCAGCCATTTGTCCAGTATCTACGGCTCCCCCAATAAACTGGGTTTCGGGGTGTTAAAAGGGGGGCAGTTTCTGTGTCGCTCTCCCTGCTAGCTGCAAAATCTCAAAAGGAAGCCTAGATTTGGCGCCCTCTGGAAAAGGCATCCAAGAGAGGGCCCCAAGAGGGCTTCTCCTGCGTTGGCACGTAGGGCTGTTTGGCCCTCTCCTCCCTGCCTCTTCTCAGCCGGGGCACCCTCCTTCCCCGCCTTCTGAATCCTGCCAGCGCTCCTTCCTCACTGAGAGCCCTGGGTTGCATGTGCACTCTCGTCGGCCTGAGCCTTCTCAGGCTGTCCTTCCTGTTCACCCCTGGATAAAGCGCCAGGGATCTGGGAACAGGATACGCCAATCGGCAGGATATACACTTATAGCCGCAGTCAGCACAATGCTGCGGGGGGGGGGGGGGGGGGGGGCCAGCTCAGGCAAACTGGAGGGGTTTTTTTTGCATGCAGACAACACTACTCCACAGCTCTCCCCGCAATCTCTCCCCCCAGCTAGTCTTCTCTCTCTCTCTCTCCCCCCTCCCTCCCCCTCTTTTTAACAAAAGGTGTGGCGGCCACACGTTTTCAGAGAATGCAGTCTAGCTTAGCAGGGAGCTGTGTCCCATCCCGTGGTCCCAAGCCCCATTTGAGCCCTAGATGGGATACAGAGGGAAAGGGGGAAAGGCCTGAGCTGGCTCAGATCCCTTCGGGCATCCGTTTCCTGTCTCTGCAGTGACAACCCATCGGGATAACATTCTTCTTCATAGTTTCCCCCACCCTTGACACCACGCTCCCCTGGCCCCATCCCCTCCCTCTCTCTCTCTCCCCCCCCCCCCCCCCCCTTTTTAAAGTGACAGGCCCTCGGAAATAAATCACCAGGTTTTGAGACCTAGACGTTCCTAATTAGGGGCTCTTAAAGAGGCAGTGATTAATGTGAGTCCTGACTAAGGCCAGGGCAAAGACGTGCCTAAGCAGTTGGGAGTAAAAGCAACAGCCGCTGAGAGGCACTCTGTCTCTGAAAAGGCTGGTCACCCGGGTGTTTGACAGCCCTCTTAAAGGGGCAGCAAAGCACTCCAATTCAGCCTCCAAGGTTTGTTGCTCGTTTGTTTGTGGCTCTTCCATGATTTTTTTTTGGGGTGGTGGTGGTGGTGGGAGGTCATTATTTCCCCCACATCCAATCCCTGCTCCCTAACCATTACAGAATATCAATAGGGGTTGTTGCTTTCTTAGCTCCTCCCACCCTATCCAGAGGGGGGAAATTATCATCATCAACTATTGTTTCTGAAAATCCACATGTGTCTTTTCAGTTTGCAGCATTTCTGTTCAAGGGAAAATCCATTTGAAAGCAATGCCATAGAAGAAAAACGTTATGGAGAAACCAGATACAAAAAGCAGATGGCTTGATCGGGAGGAACCAAAGATCCCTGGGAAAGATTTGTGGGAATTCTCTTAGGTGCGTCTGGATGGCTGGATCGCGCCAACATGGCTTTGCTCATAAGCATAAAAAAATTGGGTGCCCTATGCATTGTGAGTAAAGCAATGCCGGCCAGCAGCGCAACTTGCAGGAGAATGAGATGCAGGAGAAATTCTTTAAAATAATGTGATTTTAGACCTCAGAATATATGGAATAAATGTGCACCTCTGATCACATCTGTATATGTGTGCACTTAGATATGGTTTGCTGTTTGGACACGCTTGTGTCTGTCATATTGTGTTAAATAGTTTATGTCCATGTCCTGAAGGAACGTAAAAAATCTGCTTAGGTACTATCAATAAACATTTAAATGAATATTCATGAAACATCTACAACAGGGACATATGAAGCAATTAAGTAGTATGTTCCCTGTTCAGATAGTCTTCAAATGATAACAGTATATTTAGTGACTGTTCAAAGTTCAAGCATTACTGGGGGGAAAATGGACTTATGACCATTTTTCACACTTATGACCTTGCAGCTTCTGCATGGTCCCATGATCAAAATTCACATGCTTGGCTAACTGACTCACATTTATGACAGTTGCAGGGTCCCAGATGCACTTAACAACCATGCGACTGACTTAACAAGTGTGGTGATTCGCTTAACAACTATGGCAAGAATAGTCATATAATGGGGCAAAAATCACTTAACAATTCTTTCGCTTAGCAACAGAAATTTGGGGCTCAACTGTGATCCCAGGTCAAGGACTAACCTATCCTAACCTTTAGGTTTACAAAACAGATGTGTGGCCAGGTCAAGTAATGCATAGCGATTGCTCTAAGGCAGCTGTTTCTCAACCTTTAAGACGTGTGGACTTCAACTCCCAGAATTCTCCAGCCAACTGGAGAATTCTGGGAGTTGAAGTCCACAGGTCTTAAAGTCACCAAGATTGAGAAACTCTGCTCTAAAAATCCACATTCGCTCTGCTTTTCTTTTCCTTTGTTGATCAGTCCCAGTCTGCTTTGCTATTATTTATGGTCTCCCAATCTGCAAGTTTCCAACTGGCATCTGATAGTCATGGTAGCAATAGCAATTAGACTTATATACTGCTTCACAATGCTTTACAGCCCTCTCTAAGTGGTTTACAGAGTCTACATCTTGCCCCCAACAATCTGGGTCTTCATTTTTCCCATTTCAGAAGGATGGAAAGCTGAGTCAACCTCCAGCCGATGAGACTTGAACTGCTGAACTGCTGGCAGCCAACAATCAGCAAAAGTAACCTGCAGTCCTGTATTCTAACTACTGCGCCGCCACAGCTCTATAGTTAGGAAAATGAACGATGGATTGGAGAAACCACTGGTCTGAGGAACAGCAGCAGTTTAACTTTCTATCATTCTATCTATAGAGCCGTAATGGTGCAGTGGTTAGAATGCAGTATTGCAGGCTACTTCTGTCGATTGCTGGCTGCCAGCAGTTCAGCAGTTTGATTCTGACTGCCTCAAGGTTGACTCAGTCTTCCACCTTTCCGAGGTTGGTAAAATGAGGACCCAGATTGTTGGGGGCAATAGGCTGACTCTATAAAATGCTTAGAGAGGGCTGTAAAGCACTGCAAAGGGGTATAAAGGTCTAAACGTTATTGCTATTGCTATCTTCATTTCTTCTATGTCCTATTTAAGTACCGACATGTTCCTGTTGCTTCCCTTTTAAGCTTTTAGATCCCCCTTTAAAAAACCATTTCTTTCGCAACTAGAAACATGCAGTAGCTTTATAATGAAGGAAGGTGAATATATATGTCCCAGGATAATGTTGCAGGATCCAATCTGGGTTGGTCACTGGGACCAAAGGTTTTTTTCTTCAAGATTTTTGACTCATGCTAGAGCCCATCTTCAGCTTTATATTTCCAGGGTTGTTGCTTGCATTTAGCCTTGCTATATCTCACTTTCAGGATTTTTCCAGCTCACACCTACATTGTGTACACCACAGTGATATTTAACAGGGGTAATCCCCTTGGCATTAGCTTTGTACCAACCCCAAGAAGTTATAAAGCAGCCTTTCCCAAACTGGCTGGTTCTTGGTAGTTTTGCAAATACTGAGATTTGATGTTTTACAGATAGGGAGGTTACAAGATCCTATAAAAGGGATCTGCCATTCAAACTCTGACAGAAAGACTCACCTTCTTTGGACATGCCAACCTCAAAGCACTTCTGTAGGCGACAATACTGGCAGCGATTGCGAGTAACCTTGCTAATCTGACAGTTCTTGTCTCGGTGGCAGGTATAGACCATGTTTTTCTGAATACTTCGACGAAAGAAGCCCTAAAAATCATAGAGAGAAGAGTTACAAGTGAGCAGGAGGATTTAAATGGAAGGCTGGCATGGACGCAGTTTCCAGCAATGTTCTCAAGGAAGACTCTTTCCTAATTCACAGAGTCCTAAATCACGGCTTGCTTTAAGCACGTTCGGATGAACGAACTGAATGCAGTTCCTTACAATCTATTAAAATGTAAACATGATTTATCTACCATAATGACTGCATTCATTATGCTCTCTCCCCAAATCAAGCCACATTCAGGTTTAGCCCAACAGGAGCAACCAATCACTGTTCTGCTTGGGGACACCCATTTACAGAAGTTTATTTTGTGCAAGATAAAGGCATCCTCTGGATATTCTGAACTACAATGCGCACAAGGCCTTTTATTTGGCCTGGCTCATTGGAACTTTGGAATGTTGTAATTCAGTAACTCTTGAAAGGACATCTTGTTTCTTACCAACAAAGTCTTATGGTCCGCGAGTTGATTAAATCTTGGGATGCATTATGATCTACAACAATGCAACCAGCTGTCTCCTGGTAGGCCAGATTATTAGCCATTCTTGCTTAGTGCTGTCTTCTCCCACATGCATCACCTCCACAACACGCTCAGGCAGGAGAAACCTCTGCTAGGGTGTGGTGCTACATGGCCCTTTTTATAAGACAGCAATTTCATTGATTCAGGTCCTTCCATATACTTCATAATGCAACTCCCTTGGCCCCAATTAGAATTAATAAATACTGGCGTTCATGAGCAATTGTAGACCAAAGTTTTTGAACAGCACTGGGTTCCTGAGCACTGATGTAGGAGCTAAAAAGCATGAATCCAGGAAGTTCAGAATCCAAATATTTCTTTAACTATGGCACATAATTGGATGAGTTTAGGCAAGCTACATTCCCTTGGATCTATCTGCAGTACTGGGATGATCATACTACATGGCCTGTTTTAGAGAAGCACTACCAAATGTTACTGAAATAATATTACAGAATATTAGAGATGCTAATTATTATGATCCTAGCCATACTTGGAAACTGATCAGTGCAAACTTTTCCAACAATAACAAGGCAAATATAATTATCCTGTTCCAGTGTCAGTACTAGACCACCACTGTAATGTAGTAGTTAAAGCATTAGACTGGAAACATGGAGATGGTGGATTCTAGTTCTACCTTAGGCACAAAGCCAGCTGAGTAACTTTGGGCCAGTCACTCTCTCTCATCTCTGGAATGAGGCATGGGGCAAACCACCTCTGAAATATTGCCAAGAAAATTGAGGACTAATCCAGGCAATTGCCAGGAGTCAGCACTAATTTGAAGGTATTAAAAAAAAAGCAAAAATAGTGCCAATACTCCAAAGTGAAATCCAACACATCTGGGAGGACATCCAGTTTCTGCCTGGAATTATGCAGATATGTTAAGTGCACCCTTACAATCCATCTATTGACCTCAGAAACCCTTGGCTGGTCAGAAAATCTGGGTGGCCTTCAACAGCTCTGCTCTCTGATATTATTCGAAGGCCTTGTAGATTTCTGTGCTGAAAATGTAGGTGGAATTTTCTGCAGCAAACAACCTTCGGATTCCACCCGTGGACTGAAGGATGCAAATCAGCATACCCTTGCTTGTTTTTCACATTTCGTCTTGCATGTGTAATCTGCTTTGGGTGTTGGCATGCGGCAACTTGGAATTCCCTGCTGTAACATTCTTTGCCAGAGGAAGGAGGTCTGGGTGAAGTAGCCAACCACACCCTCCTAGCTGAACAGAGGCAGGAGTCGTAATGCCTGCCTGAACTCAGGATGTGTACTGTGGAGGCCAAGGGGGTGGGCACTTGGGAAATGCAACCCTCCACCTCAGAAATTGGAAAGAAAATGGCGGTCCAGGACCTTCCCTTCACTTACCTTGCAGCCCTCGCAGGAGCTGACCCCGTAGTGGTAGCCAGAGGACTTGTCATTGCAGACAAAACAAGGCTTGTACACTCGTGGGGGAGGGGGTGGAGAAGGGGAGCTGGGCACCATCTCCTCAGAACTTGTACTCTGGGTCTCCACTGCTGTAGAAGGGAAACAAGAAGACATGAGAGATAGATTTAGATTTTCTATAGGTGTGTGTGTGTGTGTGTCAGAAAGAGAGCACAAGTGACAAACTTTTTTCTTTTTTAAAAAAAAAAGAAATTTCCTAATTAGATAAATAGATAAAAATCAAAACTCCTAGTCCAACACTTAAGGAAAACATAAAAGGACAAGGAAAGAGAACAGAATAATTAAACTTGGAAAACATTGTGTTACAGACATGGTTCTGTCTTTTCTCTTTCTTTCAGCACGCAGCATGGAGTCGCATCTGTCTGTGTTTGGTCAGATGGAGGAAAAGATGACTGCAGGAAGTACAGCAGTTCATTTAGTGACCGTTCAAAGTTACAGTGGCACTGAAAAAAGGGGACTTACATTCATTTTTCACACCTACAACCATTGTAGCATCCCCCCTTGGTCATGTGATCAAAGTTTGGATGCTTGGCAACTGGTTCACATTTATGACCATTGCTGTGTTCCCTAGGTCACCTTTTGCAACCTTCTGACAAGCAAAGTCAATGAGGAAGCCGGATTCACTTAACAACCAGGTTATTGATTTATAACCTGCAGTGAACCGCTTAACAACCGAGGTAGGAAAGTTCTTAAAAATGGGGCAAAACTCACTTAACAAATGTCTCACTTAACAACCTAAACTTTGGTCTCAACTGTGATCATAACTCAAGGACTACCTGCATGAATAGGACCCTATGACAAAAGGGATGCTCTTCTCAAATCTATCTGGATGTATTGAATAATGGATGTTGGCACAAAAGTCCAACATTTACCTATAAATGTTATCAGACTCCTTCTGACTAAATGTTAGTGGCATCCGAGCTGGCAAGTGTTCTGAAGCCATGGTGGATTCCTCCATGAAAATGTCAACCCAAGGCTCACCTACCAACTTTGATGCTTGAAATAATTATTTCAATTACGAAGTGAATTGAAAATAGAACTATTGATAATAATGATGATGATGATGATGATGCACCTATATAAATCCATGGAGACACCATATTTTTGAGTATTGTATAACTTTAATCTCTGTATCTTAAGGAGGGTTTTACAGAATTAAGAAGGTACAAAACGGGGCAACCAAAATGATGAGAGAACTGTGTTAGTTCCCCTTCAAGAAAAAAATGGCAGTAGGTGGGACTCTTCAATTTGGAATATAGGGAGTCTGGGAGACACGTATATAATAGAGTGGTATCAAATAAAGTAAGATACAAATAACATGAATGGAGAGAATTTTTTCTGATAAAGTTAAAATTCAGTGCCAGCACTGAAACATAATGCCGGAGAATTCAGGATCAGCAGGAAAAAAATGTACGTTTTAATATATCATCTAGATAAATTATAGAATCTGCTGCCAGCAGCTGTAGTAATAGTAGCCAATTTGGGCCATTTTAAGTGGGAATTGGATAAGATCATGGAAGATTAAGATAAATGGCTAGAAAGACTGTTAATTGCTCCTGAATAAAAGGCAGGTTCATTGGTTGTTGTGAAGCAAGGGTGGAGTCTAAACTTGTAATCTTCCCAAATGTATCATTTGGCTGTTGCATAACTAATTATAGGCAGTCCTCAACTCACAACAGTTCATTTAGTGACCATTCAAAGTTGCAAATTTTTCAGACTTACGAACTGACTCATATCTATGGATGGTGAAGCCAAACTCATCTAACAACCAGGTTACTAACTTAACAACTGCACGGATTAATTTAACAACTGTGGCAAAAAAAAAAAAAAACACCTCAGAAAATGGGACAAAATTAACAAGTGTCTCATTTAGCAATAAAAATGTTGGGCTCAATTGTAGCTGTAAGTTGAAGACGACCTGTAATATCCCACAATTATATAGGAAGTTTAATCTCTGCCATTCTATCTTCAAGAACTCAAGGCAATATGTAAGTGCTCGTTCTCTGCGCCACAAACTCATCTTTTAGCCTAATTTGTTATATGATACCTGACTGCTTGGGTCATTTACACTTCAGCAAATGTAAATAGTGTGAACATACAGTCAGTTATAGAATCTGAGTCTGCAAATGGCCATAGGAATTGTATTAGTTGATTTGTAACTCAAAGTAGGCTGTTCAGCCCTCTAGTTAGCTTAATATAGCTATTTTACTAAAAGCAAATTAAAAAAAAAACACCCAATCTGAATAACCCACAAAACAAATCTCCCCACATTTCAGATCTATCCCATTTGGTTTCCTCTAATCATCCCCAGGAAAAAGTATTGAAAAGAGTTTGCTCCCAACTACTAAATCATAAGATTTCAAACTCAATGGTTGAGTTCATACATTACACTAAGCTGACATTGACCCAATCGTGTGTTTGGTTTTTTTTGCTTCACACAGAAACCCACCCCAGTGGAGTCAAATGTTATTTTGGAGTTCAGTCTGTTCTCATTCCCAATGTGCAGATGGGGAAAGTGAAGATGAATTAACATCACTTGCTAAAGGCCACATCAAGGTTGAAGACAGTCTGGAATTGCAATATTTCTGGACCACATTCAGCATTTTAGGACAGGCGAGCATAAATACATTTCAGGAAGAAATAACCGGGGGTTAAATGATTTGTCCAGACTTAGGAGTTGGGATAGGAGAAGCAAAATGCTGGTTTGAGTTTGGGTCATCTTTATTAGAATGAAAAGCCTAACTCACATGATGAAGTTCCCTGGGATAAAACAGATGTTCAGAGATTTTTATCCCTAAAAGTCCATGCCTCTTGCCCTTCTCATGACCCACGAGGCCTGGACAGAGCTTTTTCAGCCCAAATGGCATTTTTTCCACCTGCGTATTCCTCCCCCGCCACCGCCCCCAAACCCAGGCAAAGCATAAAACTGTTTGCAATTCTAGCTTTCAACAGACACTGAATTTCCTGTGTCAAGGCCCTAAATGCCACATTCCAGGACAAACAGGTTGGAATTGTTACCAGAGCCTTGTAACATAATCCCTTTCCATGGGGGAGGGAAGAAAAGTGTAAGCCTGTCCCAAAAGAGACAGGGAAAGAACAGCCTTTCTCAGCCTGGAACCCTCCAAATCGGGATGGATGGAAGCTGAAGCTCCGTTCATTGGAAGGGTATCTGATTTGGCTGGTGTTTTTTTTTTTTTTGTAATCTCAACTAATCTATTTCCTTCCAAAGTCCTGCAAAAAAAAAAAAATGGTTTCCTGCCTCCAGGATGGTGATGCCCTTTCCCCTTGCCAAATATGAATTAAGGGTAATATAGGACTACTGTATTTATAAAAACAAAACATACTTCCCCGATTACAAGCCTTTGATTAATCGGGTTCTCCATTAAATATTAACTGCATTCCTCCTCCTTTTCTATGCAACTTTGCATAACTCTGCAATCCATTGGTTTTTTTAAGCTTCTTGACGATAGGTAGTCCTTGACTTACGACCCTAATTGAGGCCAAAATTTCTGTTGACATTTGTTCTGCCCCATTGTGTGACCTTTCTTGCCACAGTTGTTAAGTGAACCTGGATTGACTTGGCTTGTCGGAAGGTCACAAAATGACCCCAGGATATTGCAACCGTCGTAAATGTGAGTCCATGGCCAAGCATCTGAATTTTGATCACATGACCCATGAGGATGCTGCAGCAGTCCTAAGGGTGAAAAATGGTCATAAGTCACTTTGTTTGGGGTCGTTGTAAATCTGAAAAGTCACTAAATGACCTGTTGCAAGTTGAGGACTACCTGTATTACAGTGCTTCGGTTGAAATAGACCAGTCTTCCCCAATCCCATAGGCCCAAGATATGTCAGGATTCTGAATTTACAAATGAGAACTCTGTGAACTGTAGTCACAGTGTAACCTGGTTGGGGAAAGTTGGACTGGTATTCGTTTATCTGGACAACCAAGCAAGGCACCTTATTACAGACTATTCAGTTCTGTTCAGTTTTGGAAAAAGAGTATAGGTAGTCCTGGATTTACAACAGTTCATTTAGTGACCATTTAAAGTTAGAATCGCACTGAAAATGTGACTTATGACCGCTTTTCGCACTTACGACCACAGCAGCATACTCATTGTCATGTGATTGAAATTCTCTTGCTTGGCAACCAGTTCATATTTATGATGGTTGCAGTGTTTTGGGGTCATGTGATCACCTTCTGATAAGCCTAGTCAATGGGGAAGCCAGATTCACTTAACAACTGGACTACTAATTTAATACCTTCCACTGTTCACTTAACAACTGTTGCAAGAAAGGTCGTAAAATGGGGCAAACCCAGCTAACAAATGTCTCACTTAATAACATGAATGTTGGGCTCAACTGTAAGTCAAAGATTACCTGCACTGAATTACAGAGGGTGTGTTTGAAAACCAGAGGCCAATCCTGATCATTCATGTTAGGAAATACAAAACCAAAGCATTTTCATTATTAAAAAAATAGAATTAGATGCTGCCAGGTGATCTGAGGAAGACAGGATTTTGTGGGAAATACCTGGTTACAAAATGAAGAGACTGTTAAAAACAGGTCAGGAATGAATGGAAACCCAAATCTTCCTTATCCACAGTTTTACCTTCCTGCTATCAGCAATCTCCCCCAATCCTGTCTCCAGCCCAAACAATATTTGCAAAAGGAAAATAACCCTTCACAGACACTCCACTACAACAGATAACAAGCATATACAAAGTCCAAGCAACAACTATATCTCTTGGGCTTACAGTGATCCTACAATAAACAAACCCAGGTTTTGCCAAACAACGATTTCTTGAATATTCAGCATTGAAAATCCATTTAGTATATGTATTTTCTCTTTCAAATTCATCAATGCACAGTCAACCATCCAAGTCTTACAACCTATGGTCAGGTAATTGCTCTGCCAGGATTCTTCTACCTGACCTGATTTGCTGAGATTTCTTTGGAAAGATTTCTGCAGAAAACAAAGCATGCAGCCCTGATACGGAGCACGGCATTCCTGTAAAGAAAACCAAATTCTAGCTCTGCTGAAGATGCTAGATAATACCCAGTGCAATCTCAG